TCACCCAGGAAAAAAAAGGCAGATAAGGCCCCAAATTCACAGAATCACACAGGAAACAATGCAGATAAAGCCCTCAAATCACACAGGGAAAAATAGGCAGAAAAAGGCCCAGAATCATACAGATAAACACCCCCCAGAATCACAGAATAACATAGGAAAAAAAAGCAGGTAAAAATCTCTCCTGGTTCCAGAGGGGTAGAGGGACTGGTTTGAAGTCTCAGGCTCCTGTGAAAAGCTTCAAACATCCAGATTTACCAAATCTGGGCACYGTTTCCATCCAGGTTGTTTTGGGTATTAAGAAAAGGGGATGTTATGATTTTGAAATGTTTTCTTGCCTCATTTCCCTGCTCTGTTGCAAGTCAGGTCCCGTGAGAGGACTGTCACTGCCCCGCTCCTCCGGGCACTCATTTCCCAGCACAGGGGGAGGGATGAGCCAGCCTTGGGGTGGGAATCCCAGGAGTCTGCTGGTGCTGCAGGTCTAAGCACTCAACACCTCCCAAATAACCCCAGTCTCCCTCTGCAGAGGTGAATTTAAGGGATAGTGGGATGAAAACTCTGACAGGATCAAATGCCAATGTCACAGAGTGAAAAACCACAGGAATATTCCAAACGAGTGAAAAAAATCAGTGTTGATACCTTTCTTTCCATGGATCAGCTGCAGGAATTACAGGGAAGTGTTTGTTCTTAGAGCACCATTTGGGTCCTTCCAGGTGTTGTTTGGAATGGAAATAACGGGAATTTCTGCTTTTCCTCCTCAGAAGAAGGAGCGGTTCCTGATTCCCTTCCTGGCCCTGCAGATCATTGATTTTCTCCTCAGCCTCCTGACCATGTTCAGCTCCTACATCCGTGTGCCAGCGGTCATCTCCGTGTCCTCCCTGGGCCACACGGTGGGTGACAGCTCCTGCTGGGGGTCCCCTGCCTTTCCTGGAGCAGGAGAAGGTTTGGAGTGAAGGGTCATTACTGTTCGTCATGGAATCCCCTGAGCTGGAATAAAGGATCGTTACATTGGGTTATGGTTTGTCAGGGAATCCTTTGGGTTGGAAAAGAGCTTTAGGATCCTTTAGGTTGGAATGAAGGATCATTATTTTCAGCTATGGTTCTTCATAGAATCCTTTAGGTTGGAATAAAGGATCATTATTGGGGCTGTGGCTCTTCATGGAGTCCTTTAGGATGGAATGGAAGATCATTACCTGGGGCTGTGGTTTGTCAGGAAATCCTTTGGGTTGGAAAAGACCTTTAGGATCTTGGGAGGCTGATATAAAGGGTCTTTTTCTGGGGTTGTGGTTTGTCAGGGAATTCTTCAGGATGGAATAAAGGGTTGTTACCTTGGGCTGCTGTTATTCGTGGAATCCTCTGGGTTGGAAAAGACCTTTAGGATCCTTTAGGTTGGAATAAAGGATCGTTACCTTGGGCTGTGGTTTGTCAGGAATCTTTTAGGATGGAATAAAGGGGCATTACCTTGGGCTGTGGTTCTTCATGGAATCCTTTAGRAYGGAATAAAAGGTCACTGCTTTGGGCTGCTGTTCTTCATGGAATCCTTTAGGCTGGAGAAGACCTTTAGGATCCTTTAGRTTGGAATAAAGGWTCATTAYCTGGGGCTGTRKTTTGTSAGGAATCTTTTAGGTTGGAATTATGCATCATCACCTTGGGCTGTGGTTCCTCATTGAATTATTTAATATGGAATGAAGGGTGACTGCCTTGGGTTTGGCTTCTTATGGAATCCTTTAGGTTTGAAAAGACCTTTAGGATCCTATAGGGTTGTGATAAAGGGTCATTACCTTAGGCTGTGGTTTATCAGGGAATCCTTTAGGTTGGAAAAGAGCTTTAGGGTCCTTTAGGATGGAATGAAGGTTCACTGCCTTGGGCTGTGGTTTGTCAGGAGTGCTTTAGGATGGAATAAAGGATCACTGCCTTGGGCTGTGGTTTGTCGGGAATGCCATAGGATGGAATAAAGGATCACTGCCTTGGGCTGTGGTTTGTCGGGAATGCCATAGGATGGAATAAAGGATCACTGCCTTGGGCTGTGGTTTGTCAGGAGCCCTTTAGGATGGAATAAAGGATCACTGCCTTGGGCTGTGGTTTGTCAGGAGCCCTTTAGGATGGAGAAGACCCTTGGGATCCTGGATTCCAGCAGTGAGGGAGTTTCTCCTGGCTGCAGACAGGGTGCAGTCCTCGGGGCTGGAGCAGATCCTGTCACAGTTGGCACGTTCATTCCCCCACCTGGGAATGTCATTTGGTCCCAGCTTTGGGGAGGCGGCTCTGGGTGTGTCCCTGACCAGAGGGGTTTGCTGGGATCATCCCTGCTCCAGCCAGAGGGCTCTGGGGAGCTTGGCTGAACTCCACAAATGGTTTGCTCACAATTTTTGCCCAAATAAATGAAATTTGGTTTGAGTTTAAGGGAATTTAGCGACTTAGACTCTGTGTGAACCAACCCCAGGCCCCGTGTAGGGTGTGAAGAATTGGAAGTGCTGTCCTTGTGACCCCATTCCCATCCCTGTGACCCCATTCCTGTCCCTGTGACCCCATTCCCATCCCTGTGACCCCATTCCCATCCCTGTGACCCCATTCCCGTCCCTGTGACCCCATTCCTGTCCCTGTGAACCCATTCCTGTCCCTGTGAACCCATTCCTGTCCCTGTGACCCCATTCCTGTCCCAGTGATCCCGTTCCCATCCCTGTGACCCCATTCCCATCCCTGTGACCCCATTCCCATCCCTGTGACCCCATTCCCGTCCCTGTGACCCCATTCCTGTCCCTGTGACTCCGTTCCTGTCCTATCCTTGTGACCCTGTTCCCGTCCCTGTGATCCCATTCCCATCCCCCTGACCCCGGTCCCATCCCTATAACCCCATTCCTGTCCCTATAACCCCGTTCCTATCCCTGTGACCCCATTCCTGTCCCTGTAACCCCATTTCTGTCCCCCTTGGCAGGGCCGCTCCAAGGTCCCGGTGCTGGCTCTGCAGTTGTTGGATTTCTGCCTGAGCATCCTCACCCTGTGCAGTTCCTACATGGAGGTGCCCTCCTACCTCAGCCTGAGGCCTGCGGACACCGGGGTAGGTCTGAACAGCTCCTTTTCCCTGCTGGCAACTCCTAACAATCCCCTTCTGTGCCTGTGAGGCTTCTCTGAGCCCTCTCGAACACCCAGAACCGCTCACATTAACAACAAAAAGGTTTTCGCTGTTCTCCTGGCTGACAGCTCCCGTGTTCCTAAAAGAAACCCCTCATTTTCCCCTTGGAGGAACCTGATGGGTGCAATTGCAGAGAAAAAAGATTYGGACAGAGCTGCCTGCACAGAGAACGCCTCAGATTTCATCTTTATTCAACAGTTAAACCCTTAATTCTCATTTCAACAGGGAGTTGGAGCAGCAGGAGGAAAACAATGTTTGGGGCTGAGACCTTCTCTCTTTTTCCCCCATTTATGGTTCAAACTTTCTCCTTTCTCCCTCTCCCCCATTAACAGCAGAGACCTTCTCCCTTTTCCCCCACTTGGGGCTCAGACCTTCTCCCTTTCCCTTTCCCCCATTTATGGCTCAGACATTTCCCTTTCCCCCATTTATGGCTCAGACATTTCCCTTTCCCCATTTATGGCTCAGACCTTCTCCCTTTCCCCATTTATGCTCAGACATTTCCCTTTCCCCATTTATGCTCAGAAATTTCCCTTTCCCCCATTTATGCTCAGACATTTCCCTTTCTCCCCATTTATGGCTCAGACATTTCCCTTTCCCCCATTTATGCTCAGACATTTCCCTTTCCCCATTTATGCTCAGACATTTCCCTTTCCCCATTTATGGCTCAGACCCCTCTCTTCTCCCCATTTATGGTTCAGACATTTCCCTTTTTCCCCATTTATGGCTCGGACATTTCCCTTTCCCCATTTATGCTCAGACATTTCCCTTTCCCCATTTATGGCTCAGACATTTCCCTTTCCCCATTTATGGCTCAGACATTTCCATTTCCCCCATTTATGCTCAAAACCATTTCCCTTTTCCCCCATTTATGGCTCAGACATTTCCCTTTTTCCCCATTTATGGCTCAGACATTTTCCCCCATTTATGCTCAGACATTTCCCTTTCCCCCATTTATGCTCAGACATTTCCCTTTCCCCCATTTATGCTCAGACCTTTCCCTTTCCCCATTTATGGCTCAGACCCCTCTCTTTTCCCCATTTTTCCCCGTTTTCCCAGGGCTCTGTGCCGCCCCTGCAGCAGCTGCCCGCAGAGGACCTGGCCAAGGTGATGCTCACCTTCACCATCGCCTTCATCGCCGTGCTGCTCTTCAAGGTAAAAGCCTCTGGGGAGGGGCTGCAATCAGAATTTTCCTGATTTTCCCAGGGAAAATTTGGCTTTAATTCTCTCCCAAATCTGCCTCGTTGGGCTCTCCTGGAGCTATTCCTCAGTGTGGGTTTAATACCCAAATTTCTGCCTTTACACCTCTGCAAAGGTGAGTTATAAAGTAAAATCTCCAAAATCATCACTGCCCTCTCCTCTTTAGAAGGATAAAAAGGCTAAAAACAAACACAGCAAAGCCCTCTGCTGTCATGGGSCAAAATAAATGAGATTATTGAGCAGCAGGTGAGATTGGCACTCGGGTGAGGGGCCATGTCCACTCTGGTGGGAGCAGGGTTATCCACACCAATAWTCCCAAAATYAAAAWTTTTATTTTGAAGTTTTTAATTAAAACCAGGAGCTGCTGAACCCTGCTGGTGCCTCAGGAAGCTCCTCTGGGTCAGGTTTTTTATCCTTTTTTATTACTTCAGTGGGTCAGAGAGCTGATTTTTCACTGAGGGCTCTCAGCCCCACAAAGAAAAGCAGATTTTCCCAGGTTCTTGAGCAGATTCTGTGAATCCCAACAGCAAAAATACTGCTCATGAGCTGGAAAATATTTTATATTCTGAGACTTCCAGGTGGGCCTGATAAGGCAGTGTGGAGGGGAGAGCTCTGTGTGGATGCACCTCAGACGTGGYTTGAACATATCTTGGAATATTTGCATGGAATATGCAGTGGGAGTGGAGATAACCCCGGGCCCCAGCTGGCAGAAACCTCCCTGACCCAGCACAGGGGTTAATTTAAATTTTCCACAGCTTTACCCACAAAACTGCTGGACTTGAAATGAGTTTTTTGTGCTGGAGTTTTTGAGAGGAGGGATGGGGTGGGAWAATAAAACCAAAATCATGGAGTGCATTCCTTTGTTGTGTGATTTTTATTTGATTTTAATATTATAATCAGGGAATGCATTGCTTTGTTGTGTGATTTTAATTTATTTCAAAACCAAAATCAGGGCATGCATTCCTTTGCTGTATGATTTTAATTTTTGTCAAAATCAGGGCATGTGTTCCTTTGTTTTATGATTTTTATTTCATTTTGAAGCCAACATCATGGAATGCCTTCCTTTGTTGTATGATTTTTATTTCATTTTAAAACCAAAATCAGGGAATGCATTGCTTTGCTGTATGATGGTTGGGGGTTTTTTTTATTTCCTGGTTTGTTTTTTTTCACGGATGAGTGGAGGTTTTTATCCAGTTTTATGGCAGCTCCGTGTTTGCTCTCCGTGTGAAGAGCTTTGGAAGCAGAAAGGGTTTTGCACTGTTCCCTGAAGGTGCTGAAAGTCAGGATTTTCCTCCCCATCCCTGGAATTCCGAGGTGGATTTTTCCAGCTCCGATGTTTCATTCCTGTTCTCTTTGCCTTGGCTCGGTGCCCTCATTGTCCTGCACTCTTCAGCTTCGGGATCTGTGACTCCCTGTGTCCCCTGAAAATCCCAAATGTTCCCGAGCGGATTGTGGRGCCAACACAAACACGAGGTGCACGGCTCCTCCTGGCCGCTCAGAGCGGGGGAAATGTTTATTTAATAGGGCAGGCTGCACAGACCCCGCTTCTTTCCCCSTGCCACAGCCCCTCAATGATCCCTTCTTCCCAGAAAAGCCCATTTATTGCATCCCATAACTCCGGGAGGTGCCAGGGGGTCCAAGCAGGGACGTGGAAGTGTTGCAGGATGGSTTTTGCTGAAGGAAGGGAACTTTTGGGGTCTCTGTTGTGCCTTTGGTGCTTTCCTGAGGTGCCCAGACTCTGTCACCTGCTCTGAAAAATGACCTCAGATCCCAGATCAACCTCAGGGTGTTGTGGTGGCTCTCAGAGGTTCCCATTGTTACATTTAATGGGGTTTTTGGTTAATCACTTTCTATTTATTCGATTGCTAGTCCCAGCCCCACCAAATTGTTCAGAACTGATGGAATTTTCACCTTCCTGGGGAAGGATGGATGCACTGATTTAAACCCTGGGATCATGGTTCCAAATTTCTCCCTCTAGAGAAACGGGCAAGAAAACCCCAGGCTGGTGGCAAATGGGRAAATGCCATTTTGGACCTGCAGTGAATGGGAAATTTGACTTTTTGCCCTGCACTGCAGTGGGAAATGTGACTTTTTTGCCCTGAAGCACAGTGGGAAATTTGATTGTTTTGCCCTACACTGCAATGGGAAATATGACTTTTTGCCCTGCAGTGCAATGGGAAATTTTAATTTTTGGACCTGCAGTGCAATGAGAAATTTGACTTTTTGCCCTGCAGTGCAATCGGAAAATGCCCTTTTCCATCCCCTTTCCCTCTTTTCCAGGCCTTCATGTTCAAGTGTGTCCTGAGCTGCTTTCGCTACATCAGAGCCAGCAGGAGGGAGGAGGAGAAAGTGGAGCCACCAGCCCTGGAAAAGGTGAGGAAAAACTGATTTACTCCRGGAACAGGGATCCTTGGGACTGGTGATCCTAATCTTGGTTTTTGGGTCTGAGAGAATTCCCAACCCTGCAAATTTAGAGATCCAGGGGCTGATAATCAGTTTTTAATTCTATTAATTAAAAAAAAAATAATAATTTCACTTCTGTATAATGTCTGCAAAGCCAATGTGCGAGGAAGGTGAGAGTCAGGCCTCAGCAGATAAATGGGAACRGATCCTCTGGAATCCCTGTGATCCCATAACTGCTGATCCAATCGCTGTGACCCCACAACTACTGATCAGATTCTGTGATCCCATAACCACTGATCCAATCCCATGATGCATAACCACTGATCAGATCCTGTGAACCCCATAACTGCTGATCAGACTCTGTGACCCCATAACCACTGATCCAATCCCGCAACCCCATAACCACTGGTCCAATCCCATGATCCCATAACTGCTGTTCCTCTCTTTCAGGCCGTGCTGCCGTCCTATGAGGAAGCCCTGGAATTGCCCTCCAAGGATTCCCCCCCTCCCTATGGGGCACTCTGAGCCCTGTCAGGGGGGAGGTGACCCCTGAGCGCCGCCGCTGCCGCTTCCCTCCTGCCACATTCCCAATTCTTGGACATTCTCGATGCCAGCACATTCCCAACCCCAGCAGGTTCCCAATCCTGCCTGATTCCCAGTGCTGCCACATTCCCAATCCCGCCACATTCCTGATCCCACCACATTCCCTATCCTGCCACATTCCCGATCCCGCCACATTCCCGATCCTGCCACATTCCCAATTGCGCCACACTCCTGCTTCCAGCACATTTCTGATATCAGCAGGATCCCAATCCTGCCTGATTCCCAGTGCCGCCACATTCCCGATCCCGCCACACTCCCGATCCCACCATATTCCCAATCCTGCCACATTCCCAATCTCACCACATTCCTGATCCCACCACATTCCTGATCCCAGCACATCCCTGATCTCCCTCAGAGCCCTTCCTGTTTATCCCAGCCCCGCCATTGCCGGATCCCGCTGGGGAACCGCTGGAACTTCATCCCGCTCCTGCACCTCCCACCTGGCACTTCCAAGCTGCCATTCCCAATTTCCTGACCCTGGCCCTGGATCCCATCCCTGGAATTAGGGGCTGCAGAGCTGGCCCGGGGTGGCTCAGTGCCACCAAGGCGCTGTTTGTCACCTGGCCCAGGTGTGACGCAGCTCTGGGACCTTCAAGGGGTGGAATGGGGGGCAGAACGGGGAAGGAATTTTCTCTGGGATAGCCCAGCCCTGGAGCTGTGCTGACCAGAATTCCCAGAGCCTGGGGGTCAGCCAGAATTCCCAGGGGTCAGCCAGAATTCTCAGGGATCAGCCAGAATTCCCAGAGCTGGGGGATCAGCCAGAATTCCCAGGGGTCAGCCAGAATTCCCAGAACCCAGGGATCAGCCAGAATTCCCAGAGTCCAGGGATCAGCCAGAATTCCAAGGGATCAGCCAGAATTCCCACAGCAAAGGGATCAGCCAGAATCCCCTGGAATTGCAGCTCCCACCCTTGTAACAATTGGCAGTGCCCTGGAATACCCACCCCAGCACTGCTCTCCCATTTCCTACCCAAGCCAGAGCATTTTTCCTGCTTTTAGCATGACTTGAAAGACAAATTCCAATTTAAAAAATCCTGTTAATGGCTTCCAAACTCTGTGCCTGATTTCTGCGGGCGGTGCCGAGTGAAGGAAGAAATCATCTCATTTCTATAAAAATCAGCGAAAAATGGCTCTCTTACCTTGGCCTGATGTAATTTCCTGTTTGTGCTGCTCATAAAGGTAAAGCTGATATTTCTGTTCTGATTTCCTGTAAAATTCTACCCCATCTGCCTTATCAGCGCTGATAAGGATCCATGCCCTGCTCCCCGCTGGGGGCTCTGCACAGCTCAGGCCCTGTGGGTGTCACTGATGGAATTCAGCACCTGCTGTCCCTTTTTCGGATCATTTCCTGCTCTTTTCCAACATTCCCAGCAGGGAAAAGGCATGTCTGGGTCGGGTGTAACCATTCCAGAGCTCATCCACAGCTCGAATCAGAGCCTGGGGGGTGATCTGCTCTGAAACAGAACAAACCAATGGAACATTCAACAAATTCAATGGAATATTCAACAGCAAATTTCAATGGAATATTTAACAGTAAATTTCAATTGATATATTTAACTGCAAATTTCAATGGAATATTTAACTGCAAATTTCAATGGAATATTCAGCTGCAAATTCAATGAAATCTTCAATTGCAAATTTCAGTGGAATATTTGCAGAGCATGAATCAGAAATGTGCTGCTACCCCTGCTCTTTTCCCTGGAAGTTCGTTTCTGCAATGGGGATGAAGAAGATGATGCTGGTTGTGTATTTTCAAGCTGATTTTCTCATCCAGGGATGATCATTCCCTTTTTTACTGCTCCATCTCCTCGTTCTGGGCACCAGGATGCTCAGCAGCACCCCTGGAGTGTGGAAAGGAGCCCCAAAGAACGCCTCAGTGGCTCCAGTGCCGTTAAACACAATCAGAAATCACCCCCAAAAGCACAAATCTCTCCAGTCCTCTAAGGAGAAAATAATTTTTCTGCCCCATGTCTGGTGACTGTTGAACTGTGACCAAAGAGCAAGAGGCCAATCCGAAATCCAACCAGGAACCCTTGCAGAAAAGCCCCGATTCCTGCACTGAGGTCCAGCCCAGCCTCCTGCTTCATTCTGCAGAGAGATCAAAAACTATCTTGAATTATGAGTGACCAGCTGGCTGCAGAACTTTTCAGACTTCTGTCACGGCCACGAGGATCAGGAGCTGCTCTCGTTCCTCCCTTTGGCTGCTCCAGGCCTGGAGGAGGCCTCGGGATGGATATTCCCTTTGGAAAGCACATCCTGCCCTGGATAYCCCTGACCCGATGGGATAAGGGATAATGGATTCCTGATCTGAGTCTGGGATGGGGGGTGACAGCTCTGGGACATCCCACCAGGCTCCCCCCACCCAAACCTCATTAACCGGGGCTGCCCAAATGGGGAATGCTGGCAATTCCCCTGGTTTTTGATCCAGCAGAGGGTTCCTCATGGGATCCCACTAAATGGAGGTCATACCCCTCCTCCATCCCTTCCAAGGGTTCAGGGTCTCCCTGCAATTCAATTCCCACTGATAACAGGGAAAAGTCATGGCTGTGGAGTGACTGCAGCAGGGTCTGTCAGCCTCCCCCTCTGAGCCTCGTGCTTTAATTGACTTCAATAATTGGGCTGGGGTAGTTAAAATGTGGCCAAGCTGGGACTGGTTTCAGTGTGGGTCTGGTCTAACTGAGTCTGGCCCCAAAGCCAGCCCCTCTCCTGCCTGGGCAGTTCTCTCTGCAGGGTTCAGCAGAATTCCAGAATTCCCTGCGAGAGCYGGGCTCCAAACCCCAGCCCCGATAAAATGTAAGGAATTATTGTGAGCTCGCAGCCGGGGCTGGGCTCGAGACAGGAAGCGGGGTTGGTTTTGTGAAATGTCCCAGCACGGGGCCAACACAAACGGAGCCCAACTGGCCCCGGCTGCTCACGAACCCCACCATGGGGGGCTGGGTCAATGCTGGGTCTGGGACTGATAAAAGACCCTTTGAAACCCCTCTGTWATTCTGGGTTTGCCTTTCCAAGCTGATTTATGGGTGGGAGGGTCAGTCCGGGCTGGGAGCAGCTCACATGGAGATCCCAGCACTGCCCCACGCTCGGGTTTGGGCAGCACAGGGGAGGAACCAGCTGAGTTTGGTGATGGACAGGGAAAATGGAGCTGAGAATTGATAACTGAGCTGAGTATCTCACACAGAGAAATGAGAGGGGCTGGGCTGCAGCAGCGGGGTGACCCACCGGGATCGTGGATCCAACCCCAAACCCCACCCTGTGCATCCCTGGCAGCGCTGTCCCAACGCTCCTGGAGCTCTGGCAGCCTCGGGRCCGGGACCATTCCCTGGGGAGCCTGGGCAGTGCCAGCACCCTCTGGGGACAGAAGAACCTTTCCCTGCTCTCCAGCCTGAGCCTGCCCTGGCCCAGCTCCAGCCCTTCCCTGTCCCTGTCCCAGGGATCGGAGCTGTCCCTCGGGAGGAGCCGCCGACCCCAGAGTTCTCTGCTCCACCTGGACATCCCAAGCGCCCTCAGCTGCTCCTCAGACCCTTCCCCATCTCCTTGTCCCTCCTTTGCTGCTCTCTGACGCCTTCAGACCTTCCCTGTTTCCTGACACCAAAATTCGCAGGGTTTTCAAGCTGTTTCTCGCACAGAAACAACCCCGGGGATTCCCGGGCACGGCCGGAATGGAGGAATGGCGCAGGTGGAGCAATCCAGGAGCAGATGGAAGGGCAGGGGTCAGCAGGGGAGGCAGGAGCCAGTAGGGCCAGCAGGGGCCAGGAGGGGAGGCAGGAGCCGTGCCCAGGAGGGGCAGCCCAGCCCCGGGGCTGCCGTGAACACGGGAAGGCGGCGAACACAGCGTGATCGCCTAGGGACTAGCGGGACCCACAAAGCGCACCACTGACCCCGCCATGGGCAGGATTGGCTCTGTCCCCAGCAGCCCCAGGGACTGGTTCTGGCTCTGTGTGGCTGGAAGAACCCACAGAGCTGTTTCTGAAGCTGTTTGAGGCATTGGTTGGATGCTTGGCTCTGTCCCCACCGCCGTAATTCCACTCTTCCCAAGGCAGGAATCGGGGATGCAGAAGGTGGGGTGGGGTGCCTGCACCCCTGAACCCAACCAGAACAGAAACACCATAAGGGGAAACACAAAAATTCATTTATTTATTTATTAATACAAAACGTGGAGCTTTTGTCACTGTTTCTCTGAGGGTGAGAAAGCCAGAGCGGGAAATCCAGCTTGGAACGCTCACCTGGAGCAGCAAAGGGAGCCAGAAACAGGCAAAAATCACGGAGAGCTTTGGAAAACCTCAGGGTTTCCCGGTGGCTGAAGGGCAGGAGGGCTGTGTTTACTACGGCTCACGGGTTTGTTTGGAATGAAATGAAAACCAGCAGTGAACAACTGTGGATTTGGCCGTGCATCCCTTGCCAGCCTGCTCCTGCTGTGCTGCCTCCTCAGAGGGACTCAGGCACCCTCCAGGTCCTTCTGGAGAATTTATGGTCCGGGGATCCTGATAAAAGAAAAAAATCCAGTARTTAACTCATGGCATCGTTAAGGTTGGAAATCACCTTTAAGATCCTCAAGTCCGTCCATGGTCAGCACTAAACCACGTCCWAAAGTGCCAAATYCACACWTTTTTTTTAGCAATTCCAGGGATTTGACTCYACCRCTGCCCTGGGCATCCCCAAAATATTTTACAACCCTGTCTGTGACAAAATTTTCCTTAATATCCATTCACACCCTCTCCTGGCCCAGCTTGAGGTGATTTCCTCRTCCTGCCTTCTGCTGGAGCTCCATTGGACGTTTGGAAACATCCTCAGAGCCCTGATTTCCCTTTTTYCCCCCAGAAAACCTTCCCAYTTTCTGGGTCATTTCCATGGCAGKGCCTCCAGGGCTGCTGCATTTTGATTTTAATGTTTGGGCTCTCTGCAATGTGAAATTTATACCAAAATATTCAATGCAGTCAGGAGGTACTCACTGGAAATGTGGAAAGTGAAAGCTGAAATCAAATTTTAAACTAAAATCTGAGCAGAACAAACAGCACAAGTGAAATGCCATCTTGAAACAAAAACTGCCTCTCCCATGGAAAATCAAATATTGTCTTTCCTGGCTTTTTCCAGCTGATCAATGTTCCTGGGAAGAGCTGTGATGGAGAAAAATCTGCATTTATTTCATTTATTTCATCAGAGCTGTTTGGCTGCTGATAAACAAGGAGTTACCGCCTCTGCCAGCATTAATTTGGGTTCAACATTTGAATTTTAGCACTTTCAGGACTTGTCCTTAAGCTGGGCTTTGCTTTTCCTGGCTCAAGGCTGGGGCAGATTTGGTGATTTGAAGGTGAAGGCATCCAGYAGAGCGGGGTTTGGTCAYGGAGAATTGGCAAAGCAGGAAATTKGTCTGGAAGATAACAGAGGATCTGAAGGAGAATAATGAGGAAATGGTGAGGGATTTGGGGAATCTCACAGAGCTCTGAAAGTGAACCCAAAGCTTTTCCTGCATGCAGAGGGTGAGGGTTTCCTGCTGTCCATGCTGGGAAGGATAAACTGCAGCTCCTCAGGTCATGTTGGAGTCTTGGGATCACAAAATCCCAACAAATCTCTGGGATCACCAAGTCCTTGTGTCACCCAGCCCCACCATGTCCACAACTGGCTGTGTCCCCAAGAGTCACCTCCACACACTCCTGGAGCATTCCTGGGATGAGGAYTCCACTACTTCCTTGATTCCCCCTGACCCAACGCTTTACAATCCTTTCCCTGAGGAAATGTTCCCAAATGTCCAAACAAAACCATTCCTGGAGCAATTTGAGGCTGTTCCCTCTCCTCCTATCCCTGTTCCTTGGGAGCAGAGCCTTACCCCCCCACAATCTTCCTTTGCTCCAGGCTGAGCCTTTTTCCCAGCTGCTCCAGGCCCTCCAGGCCCTCCAGCCCCTTCCCCAGCTCCATTCCCTGCCCTGGACATGCTCCAACCCCTCAATGTCCTTCTTGTCCTGAGTGACCCAAAACTGCCCCCAAAATTCCAGGTGTGACCTCTCCAGTGCCCAGCATGAGGTGGGACCTGGATCTCCTGCTCATCCCTCAGTGGAAGAAAGTGAGGATTTGGTTTTTTGGTGTCGGAATCTGTGGATTTGAGGTGTCGGAGGAGAGGCAGACCCCACCCATGCCAGGACATCGGAAGGGCACAGCAGCAGCACTAACGGGCTGTGTGTTCACACTGCAGATAGGCAGGGAAGGGCTCGGAATCCATGTTTTCCTCCCAAAATACTGCGTGTGGTGTTCTGCTCCTCGGGAGCCCGGCGAGAGGCGACATTTCCTATTTTCCGAACAAACGCTGCCTTCGCAGGACATCAGTGCGGCCCCAGAGCTCCYGGCGCGGCTCTGCCCCACTCCTTCCGCGGCTTCCGTGCTGCTACAGTGCCACGAGCCCTGCGAGGGAAAACACCCACCTGAAACGTGTTTGGCTTTGGCTAAAACACCCACCTGAAATGTGTTTATCTTCGGCTAAAACACCCACCTGAAATGTGTTTATCTTCGGCTAAAACACCCATCTGAAATGTGTTTACCTTCGGCTAATTAGGGGCGAAATGACACCGAGGAACTCGACCTTTTCTCCTCCAGGACGGCCATAGAGGCCTCATTTACGGCGGGCTCTGAATGATCCCCATTCAGGGCAGGAGGAGCTGCTGCACCAAGGGCTCCTTGTGTGCAGGGTGGRGAAACCGGATAAACCCCAGCACAGATGGGTCCAGGGCAACTGCGTCCAAATTTTGGGGCTTTATTCCATTCTGGGCCCTGACAGTCCCGTAAACGGGTGGGGGCAGTTTGATGTATTTGGGGAGCTCTGTGTGTGTGAACSATGGAGGAGATCAGGGATTTGTGAGTCTGCACTCCCCCAAATCCCTGATTTTGTAAACAGATCCATGGAAGTGTTCACAGAGGATTGGAAGGGGTTGGGAGGGACTTTAAATTCCATCCCAATCCATCCCATCCCATCCCTGCCATGGCAGGRACCCCTCCCACTGTCCCAGGTKCTCCCAGCCCCAATGTCCAGCCTGGCCTTGGGCACTCAAAGGGATCCAGGGGCAGCCACAGCTGCTCTGGGAATTCCAYCCCAGCCCCTCCCCAYCCTCCCAGGGAACAATCCCTTCCCAATATCCCATCCATCCCTGCCCTCTGGCACTGGGAAGCCATTCCCTGTGTCCTGCCCCTCCAGCCCTTGTCCAAAGTCTTTTTCCATCTTTCTGTTGGCTCCTTYAGGCACTGCAAGGCCMCAGTGGGGTCACACCAAAGCTTCTCCTCTCCAGGCCGAATAATCCCAACCCTGCCACCCTTTATTCGAGGCAGGGCTCCATCCCTCACCTGCAGCATTTCTTCTTCATTCCCAGAGCTGTCGGCTCCGGAGCTGRCTGAAAGTCTGGGATTGATGCTGCAGGAAGACAGTGGGACAAACCCAAGCTGATTTTGCATCAGAACAGGGCCAGGTTTTGGTATTTTAATTAACACTTYGAATGTTCAAAGTCTGAAGAGTTCAGAGGAGCCTGGCAGCTTCAGGAAGGACAGGTCCTTTTTTCCCCTCATCAAAGAGCCGTTCTGCCCAGGAGCTCCCGGGCTGCTGAGGAGCTTTTGGAGGGAGCAGAGGCTCTGGGTAAGGGAAGAGGAGCTGGGCTTTGAGTTCCGGGTGCTTTGCATGGCCCTGCACTGACACAAGGCAGATTCCACGGATGAGGGATCCAAGGATGTGCTGCTGGAAAAGGTGGGCGGAAAGAACCTGATCTGTCACAAGGGAAGAGCTTTCATCAGGTGACAGCAGTGTGAAACCGTTAAAAAARGAAACAGATCCTCTGCTTTGTGAGATCTGTCACAGGAGAAGAGCTTCAATCAGGCGGCAGCGGTATGAAACTGTAAAAAAAGGGAAAGGTTCTCTGCTTTGTGACRAAGGCGCCGTTACATTCCTCCGCCCCCGGTGCCGAATCTCGCMGTGCTCCTCCCCAAAGCAAACACCGGATTCCGCCTCGCTCGCAGCACCCTCAGCTCGAGGGGGTGACGGAAATGGTTGGGGTTTGTGGCAGGAGCGGCATCTCCCTCGTGTGTGTGGAGCTGAGCGCTGCCCCCGGCCCCAGCCCCACCCCTGGGCCGTTTGTCCGTCCCGTGTCCCGTTCACCTCTTTCGGGCTCCGGAGCCCTCTGTGCCCTCCCCGCCGGCTCACGGGGGCTCAGCCGCACCGAGCAGCGCCTGCTCCGGGCAGGAAAGCTCTCCTGCATCCCGCCTGTGCATCCGTATCCCCCAAACTTTCTTCTGCTCCCATCCCTCCTCTCTGCTGGGATCCGCAGGGATCTCCAGCCCTGGGCTCGGCACCGGTGGGGGCTGACGGTGACACCGGTGTTGTCCCCTCCCTGGCTCTGCCGCAGGAAGGACACGAGCCTGGCACCTCCCAGCCCCTCTGCTCTCCTGTCCCTCTGCTCTGCTGCTGCTCTGAGCGCTCACCCAGGGCAGGGATCCCRYMGGGATWGCCASCYCTGCCCTTGGCACRGCTGGGGGACTGAGGGGACCGGTGTGACCCTGCTCCTGTCCCCTCCCTGGCTCGGATCCCGCAGGGATSKCCAGCCCTKCCYTYGGCACGGSTGGGGARCTGAGGGGACCGGTGTGACCCTGCYCCTGTCCCCTCCCTGYCTCTCCTGTCCCCCCCAGCCCCTCCGCTCCCCGAGCTCTGCGGGCAGCGGCCGCTGACTGACGGCTCCTCCCCGGCTCTCACTGGCCCCACTGTTCCATCCCCGCATTCCCCMGCTCCGGGGCCCTTCAGGGCTGCCCGCCGCAGCAATGGGGCCATTGTGGGGGGCTGGGGGCCGGCAGGGCAGGGCAGGGCAGGGCTGGCCGTGCCCCCTCCCCACCCCGGGGCAGCTCCGTGCTGCCGTCCCGCTCCCCTCGCTGCCCCCCCGGCCCCGGCGCGTCAGGGGCTGGCTCGGAGCCTCCGGCCAGGGGCCGGTTATTACGGCGGGCCAGGGCTGTGCCCGCACTCCCCGCGCCAGCTCCGGCCCCGCAGCCATGGCCAGCATCGCCTGTGCCCCGCTGCTCTCGCTGCTGCTGCTCCTGCACAGCCCCGGCGCCTGCGGGGCCCCGCCGCAGCCCCGCGGTGAGTGGGGTCTGGGGGCGCTGGGGGAGCGGGGGGTCCGTCCGTCCGTGCCTCCTGCCTGGAGCTGGGGAGGGATGGGCGAGAGGGAGCCCACATGGGAGATGTGCCCAGCGGGTCACCAAAGCAGCGGACCCTGGAGCTGGGACGCGTGTGCCGCGTTCCTGGGGACAGCAGAGGTGGCCCCGGGTCACCCCTGGGACGGGAGGAGGCCCAGGGCGGACAAGGGCTCTGCTCTGCCTCCCCTCTCCCTCCCCTCTCCCCCCCAGCTCCGGGAGGGCAGCTTTGGCTGAGAGCGGTAGTTGGCCAAACCCCCCGGTTTGTCCCGGGTCACCTCCCGAGCAGGACGGCCCAGCCCGGGATGGGAACGGAACTTTCCCTGGGGTTTCTTCACCCGCTCCTGTTCTGCCTGTGGGCAGCGGGGCAGCCCGGGGAGCTGCCTGCTCTGCAGCCTGCACGGACTCGATCCCAGCTGGAACGGGTGCCAGGGACGGGATGGGCACCCGGGATAGGGCTGGACAGCCAGGGATGTACTGGATACCCAGGGAAGGCAGGGGCTGCTCCTCAGAAGCATCTCCACCCTTCCCGGGGCTCCAGGCAGCCTGGAGAAGTCGCTGCAGGAGAGGCAAACCTGGCTCTGAGGCCAAACTTCTGGGAATTAACGATGTTGGGATGGTGTGATGGTGATGACGATGAATATGATGGTGGTGATGATGATAATGATGATAATGGTTGTAATGATGATGATGATGGTGATGATGATGATAATGGTGGTGGTAATGATGATGGTGATGATAATGGTGGTGGTGATGATGATGATGATGATGATGATGATAATGGTGGTGGTGATGATGATGATAATGGTGGTGGCAATGATGATGATGATGATGATAATGGTGGTGGTAATGATGATGATGATGATGATAATGGTGGTGGTAATGATGATGATGATGATGATAATGGTGGTGGCAATGATGATGATGATGATGATAATGGTGGTGGTAATGATGATGGTGATGATGGTGGTGATGATGCCACTTACACAGCCACGGGCAGCCTGAGCTGTGCACATGTGACAGTGACTGCAGAGGCACCTGGGGCTGAGGGAGGGGGGATTTGGGATAAATTGACCCCTTTCCCCGCAGGAATTTGGGAGAGGAGGGTTCTCTTTGCTGTGCACAGTCAGGAAATGGGGCAGAGCAAGGAATAAGCTCAGCCCTGCTGGGAGCTGTCCCCTCTAAAATAAATCCCTTTCAATCCTGTTGTTTCAGTGGGTATGGCAAAGACATCCTGAGAGGGATTTCCTGCTGAATCAGGGCGTGAATTCAGCTATTCCTGAGTAATTCGAGTGTGGACATTTGTGAAAATAGAGGAAGAYTTTATTTCTGGTTCAATTCAAGTTTTAACTGAACTGTGCTGAGTGAAGGTGACAATCAAACCAGGCACTGTCACCTCCTGGTGATGTGACACCACTGCCTGCGCTGCAGAGCCTGGCTGGGCACCGTGGCTGAAACCACAAAAAGCTCGCATCTGACATCCCTTCTTTACTCCTCACTTCCCTGAAATAGACTCCACTCTCATAAACAGAGGTTAAAAATGTTATTTAGAGCAAAATCACAGAGCAGAAATAAATAAAATTGATAAGCTTCAAAATGTCTATTGGCTCCAGCTGTTCTTAGGGAAATAAAATTACTTTTCCTGCTTGGTTTGTCACTAAATCTAGGGGTGATCCACCAGCACAAAGGGGGGATTTGGGTTTTATTTGTGTTTTATTTCTGGAGGAAACAAGTGCAAGGCTTTGAGCCTTTCCCTGGCCCCTCATTCCTCACCTGTAAACCRGGCACAAGCAACCCCAGGAAAAGCGATTTCCCGTGCTGCAGGATCATCTCCAAGGGAGCTTTTCCTTCCCCCACAACAAATTATGGGAGGGGCGGAAAGAAATTCATCCATATGGGAAAAGGTTGGATGGGATTTTAGTGGGAATTAGGGCTCCTGACCAAGTGACCGCTGCCTCGCTTCCTCTTCCCAGCCCTCTCCAGTTCAGACTCGCTGTCTCTCAGGACRCAAACCTGATTATTTCCTTTATGGATCCATCACAGGGTATTTATTTTTATCGGCCTCAAACACTGAGAGCTCCATTAGATTTCACACCGAGGACCAGCTGCAATATTTATGCCGTTATTTGGAGCAGATTTGTTGGCCCAAAAGCTCCCATTTAAAAATCCGCCCACAGAAATCTCCTTTATGGCAGGACCCCGGCTGCAGAAATCAAATATTAACAGAGCACTCGGTGCCCTGACAGGGACAGGCTAAATGAGAGGGGAAAATTAAAAAGAGCAGGATGCCATAGATCTGCTGGAAAAATGGGGCAATTCATTTAGGAAACCATAAAAAATGCCAGGCCTGTTTTTATGCTTGGCCACGGCTGAAAATGAAGACGGAAAATGGCTTGAAAAAGAGAAATTTAAAAAATAATCATMATAATAATACCAATCCCTCAGCTGGTTGCATTGCTGATGCCTCCTGTTTATGGCATCTCCTTCTCACCGTGGATATTCA